CTTTGAAATGCTAATCTAAGGTGATGACTACCTCATATTTTTATGTTTTCTCTTAGCCAAGATTGTAATTTCAAATATTATCTGATTATATTCTTCCCCTGATGAGTTCAAAGGAAACAAAAGGCAGTAACTAAGATGCAGGCTTTAATTGCAGGAGGAGGGGAAAAAAAGACTTCAGAAGTTTCATGAGGCAAAATCAGCAACAAATGTGATTTCTCAGGAAATAAGCTGTCATACCATAGAGTGTGTGCAGATGAGTATCTTCCACAACAAGAAAGTGCTTGCACACTGGCTGCAAGATCTGGAACTTGTTTCAAAGAATTGAAACACACACACACACAGCCATCACAACTGAAACAGGGTATTGACATGTCCTGGGTTCAGCAGTAGCAGTCATTTTTCTCCTTCTTAGTAGCTGGTGCAGTGCTGTTTTTGACTTTCAACCTGGAACAGCACCGATAACACCAATGTTTTTAGTTGCTGTTCAGTCATGCTTACTCTGACCAAGGACTTTGTGAGTCTCAGGCTCTGCCAGGGAGGAGCAGAAGCCGGGAGGAAGCAGAGACAGGACACCTGACCCAAACTAGCCAAAGAGGTATTCCATACCACAGCATGGCATGCCCAGGATGTAGAATTGGGGGCAGTTACCTGGAAGGGTGAGATCACTGCTCGGTCAGGCTGGGTATCAGCTGGTGGGTGGTGAGCAGTTGTATTCTCTTCCCTTGTTATTTCCCTTATCATTATTATTATTGGTGGTAGCAGCAGTGATTTGTGTTATACCTTAGTTACTGGACTGCTCTTGTCTCAACCCCTGGGAGTTACATTCTTTTGAGTCTCTACTCCCCATCCCTCCAGGAGCAGGGTGGGGGGAAAGAGGGGAATGAGATTGAGACTACATGGTTCTGATTTACAGATGGGCTTAAACCATGACATGACAGACAAACAAACAAGTTGTGGGGGTAGGGAAATGTCAGTTTCAACTGGCACTGGAGCTTGTTTGGGTCCAGATTACTGTAGCAAAGTACCAAGATTGGATATTGCTAAAGCCTGGATTAGAACCCCAATTTAATTTCTAAATGCACATTCATTTCCAAATACACATTTATTTCTAAAGTAATATTTAGTATTAGGTCTAATTTTATCCAGGACTTCTTGCACTGTGGAAGACCAATCTCCCAGGTAATATTTAAGTCATAGTACATGTCTATTTCAAGCTTGATACCAAACATATTTCAAACACTCTTAATGAATCAAAAGCAGGTGATGGATACTATTTTAGGCACTAGAAAAATATATTCTAGATCAAGAGAGGTACAGACTGGAAAGAGTAAAAGGAGTGCAATGAGGCTAATCAGAGATCTGCAAAGCATAACCTGAAGGAAGATTAAAACCATTAAGGGTTGTGTACCCTAAAAAGAAGACAACTCAAGGGGGTACCTCAAAGGCTTCAGATACAGAGTAGAACAGAATCTTTACCCCATACCTGGGACATACAAGACAAGTTACTCAGTTATTCTAATTACAAGAACAATTCAGAGTAAACTTCAATAAAACCTTTCTAACGGCAGAGATGAGGAGACAGAATAGATTAGCTGAGCATCTCGCTACCATTGGAGATCTTTCAGAACACATTGAATAAATATTTGTCAGGATTAATATATAGTTGATCCTGCCTTGGGGCTGATGGATGTGTTACATGACCTCTCTGATGTCCTTCCAGATTATTTCACCACGATTCTGTTATGCAGTTGCTCACAAAATCAGGAACTGGATTTAATAACTGAAAATGCTGTTTCAGAGATTCTTTAGGAACTCACAGCTGGTACAAGATAAAACTAATTTTCAGGTAGCACAGAGCTATTGGTTTCCCTGCTGTTGCAATCACCATCTTTAGGTAGCTGCAAACATACACAGAGGTTGAGGTAATTTCTATTACTCAGCTTGGAAGCCAGTTCTGAAGAGTGGCAGATTAACTGTGTTGCAATTGTGCTAAGGAGCATTTCACAAAGTTATATCTGTTAAAAGCACTCTTGAAATGCAGAGATCTTTAAAGCTGTCCCCTTGAAAGACTTAATTTTCACAGAAGTGATAAAGGTTTAACTAACACAGCTTGATACCCAACTTGGGAGATATCGGCGAAACAAATACAGAGTTTAAACACCATTTCGGAGAACTTAAATGCAAGATCTCCTCCAAGTCATTTACTGGCAAGGCTCCCAAATCATTCTTGCTTAATATAGAATCACAGAATATCTTGAGCTGGAAGGGACCCGTAAGGATCAATTAATTTCCTGGCCAAGTAAGTTATTAACACCTTTAATGCAGCCAGAAGGCTCCCTTGAACCAGATTACTGAAAAACAGAATCTTCAGCATTTTTGAGATCAGGTTCACAGCAATAGGAAGATTTAGTATCATTTAAATAAAAATTATCTCTGCTTGTAGGAGTCATTTGCCCAAGAAAAGTATTCTAGAAAGCACTGGTAATAACTTTAAAGACTCTATCCTCCTAATGATTCTTGTCATGTGTATGCACTGACCACTGGTGCTTCTGAACATCTGCAACCTGAACTCTCTTAAATCTGTCAGACACTGGGAAGAGATGGGTTTTAGAGTTTCCTGAATCTATGGCCTCTGTGTCTGTAATACATTCCCTTTTGGACATCCTCAGGATGAGCGAGTTTTGTTTGTTAACTGAGGCTAGAATTGACTTCCATTGTTATAGCCCGTGAGAGCACTTCATGTACAGCCACATCAAAGCAGTTCTTCTGCTCCAGAGGTCTATACAGCACCACATGAGATTTCTATATCTTCAATGGCATTTAGTTACATCTCCACCACCTCCACCCTCAAGCAAAAATATAACAGAGCTGAACTGTCCACAGGCTTTCAAAGCTCATGATTGAAGACCAGAAGATGAAAAACTGCTTGCACTGCCAGCATCATGCCCTGCACAGTCCCACTATGGGTTAAGGATTAGGTCTTGGCCGTGAGCTCCTCTCACTTGGCATTGCTCAGTCTCTCTGTGAGCCTACTTACAATGCAGGATGTTTTGATCACACAGGCCACTCCTCTAGATCCCATGCAAAATAACTTAAAGCATCAGCTTTCATCAAAACAATCCTTGTTGTTGCAAGATCTGTATTTTGATCTCATCATAGCCCAAGCCTTGAAACTCTAACACCAACACCACTTAGCCACAAGTAGTACCTGGTATTGCTCACCTGTTTACAGCTATCTCCTGAAGTACACTCTTGAGTATCAGAGAAGACAGCTGTTCGTTGCTATTCCTTGATTCATGCGAAAAACAGAGAACACAGGATATCCCCTGTGCCCTGGGAGTTTGGAGGCATACCTCTTTGGAACAAGAGGTTGGGAAACAGACACAGGGTGCCAGGCTGGGCAGCCAGGGAGCATGGCAGAGGCAGGCAAACAAGTAGCTCCTTTCCATCACCTCTGCAAAAGGCTTCTAGAAATCAAGGAAGCTTCTGATTTTGAAAACACAATTCCAGAGGAAAACAAACCTAAAGACTTTTCCTTTCCCTGACACAATAATGAGCAAGAAGCAGACTGGTCAAAAAAAACTCAACAACCAACCACACAAAACCCCAACCAAACCAAAATCAAAACCACATACACAAAAAAGTTCCACAACATCCACAAACAAGAGGAAACTGTGTAGTGTGGATGCTCACATTAGGACTCTGCACCCATGTCATTTCCTCTTCAAAGTCTGTGTTGGTAAGGAATAACTGCCATGAGCGAATTAAAGAACTTGCAACCTGGCTTTATACAATTACTTGGTCTTTGTAATAATGACTTTTTCTTCTCCCTCAGTATTACAAATAAAGGCATCAGCAGCTTTTACTACAATCAGCTTCAGTGACCATGGCAAAAGTTCACACTAAGAGCCAAATTCTTACCTCATTATGAGAAAGTACACAGTGAAAAGCACTGGCCACTGCTGTACAGTGACAGCAGTAGATAAAAATCCTTTCCTAAATCCTAGTTTTACACCTTATTTTTCCCTGCATTCCTCAGCAGAAGGGAACAGTCGCATAATCTGCTTTCCAGAGTAGCTTGTTGACTAACAGCTGGTTGAGGGAGAAGTAATGCTGGGTAATGGCTTTATGACTTCACTTCTCTGCTTCAGGTTTCATCTTAGTTACAAATCCCTTTCAGAAGGAGGTTTTTACCTCTGCTAGCTCACTTAGCTCGCTAAGCTACTGTGCTTTGTATTTTCCATCCTTTCTTTCCAAGGGCAGGGGGAAAGTCATGAAAAGTCAACACATTAAACCATCCAGCTACTTCAGAAGCATAATGCAAACTCACACATCCAAAGTTTTGTTCTAGTTAGGATTTTGAGAGACACGCAGCACTGTATTATGCAGCTCATGGACTGAAACAGTGCTTTTGAAGCTACTCTAGCTTATCAGTTAAATATGCATTGATTTTTTTATTTTTTTTTTTTTTAAGTGATGTATTATTAATTAGGCAACAGAGCAAAGCAGCTTCCCCAGAATTACGTCTGGCTGTGACTGAAAAACATATGCAGGGTGCTATCCAGAATAAAATCTCTTAGTAACTAAAGGGGAGGATTTCACACAGCAAGCTCAATTGCTAGTCTTTCAAGAAAAGTGTATTAGGACAAACCTCATCTCTTTTCAGATTATGCTGGGCAGAGTGGAGTAATTCAGGGGACAGGTTAGAAACAGGTGACTGCCCACTTAGTCCCCACAAGTTTTAAGCCGCACAAAGACTGCTTGTGGGGTTGTTCAAGCAAATTCTATCCCTGCCTCTTTCTCATACCCAAACCACAGACAGACTCATGGCCCAAAGTGAAGACACAGGACTGGCAAGTCCCACCCAACATCACCATGTATTTCAACAGCAGAGTAATGGTACTACTTGAAATATCAAGCCTGTGGTCCAATTTGAGCTGCTGAACAAAGAACAACCTACATAAACGTAATGAGTTCATTACAGACTTGCTCACACTTACCTTGAGGCCCAGCTTGGATCCTGCTGGCCAATTTCACACATGCACTGCAGAGCTGGAAACCAGGAGCTCTCGGCTCATTAGAGGCAGGGAGTAAAGATGCTTTCTTATTCAGGGAGTCAAAGACAGTCCTCACCGCAAACAAAAACAATCTGCATGCCATCCTGTCTTGTGCTTGCTGACGGATGCAGAAGTAATTCAGCCCAAACCTGTAAATGAATGACAGCGAGGACAATTAGCAGAGCAGCCAACAAAGAAATACTTCAACCTTCTTTAGAGTGTTTAAACTGGTGTTTAAATAGAAACACATGTAAAATTGAGTATTCACTTCTTGCACAAGTATAAGTAGAATGCAAGTTTGAGTTAATGAAGCACAAGCCATAGATTGTTTGATAGGGCACAAAGCAGAAGCCTTTAGCCTAGAAAAAAAATGCTTTTTGCCTAGAAAACAAAATGCTTTTTGCCTAGAAAAAAACTGCCTTTTGCCTGTTTGGCAGCAGCCAGCTGGCAGGCCAGATTCAGCTAAGTTGTGACAGCACAACTTAAAACACACCTATGACCCCACGTCAGGGTATCTCTGTACGGCTGTTGTTCATGATGATAAAACAACTAGCAATTAACACCATTTTGAAGGGTGCCTCGTGTATGCAACCTCACGCTCATACACAAATCAAGTAAGCCCTGCTTAAGCAGTTACTGTGCACCAGCTGCCTACGTGCACAGGCTTAGACTACTGCAAATGCAAGGAAACACAACTTAGGCTCACCAGCAATGAAAGAGCATCAGCTCACATGTATTATAGGCACTCTGTCATAGAGCACAAGCCTGCTGCAGTTCAGCTGTGCTAGTTTGAGCATCAACTATTCCAACTGAGAATCTTTTCACTTCCTGCCATTCCCAGAAATAAGAATCAAAAATCCCCTGAAACATCTCACATTCTGCAAAATGGCCATTGCCAGCTGAACCATCAAGTCATCTGCTTCCCTGTAGCAGCCTGCCCGATGCAACCTTGCCAGTTTCCCTTTCATAGTAATGCAGTAAAAATGTATCACATTCTTCATATTGACCTCCTGTATAGCACAGGGAAGAATGGGATTCCCAGAATTAATCCTGGAATTAGAGCTGAGATTTCACAAAGGTATCTGATCTCCACTTGGACATGGTCAGTCATGCAGACTTCACCAAAACCTCTATCAGCTGCTTCCTTGCTTCATTTTCTGCAGATTTGTCAGGTTTTGGCATTTGGCCACTGAGCCTTGTACTAGTGAGACAGGAAAGCCTTCTATTACCAAAGCATGATCATTTCATTTCACAATCTATGACTAGAAGAATCAGTCCAAGCCCCTCCAAAGACCAACTGAGTCCACATAAAGTCTCAGGTACCTGAATTTAGGGTGATACCGGTCAAATTATCCCTTAGCCTTCTATTTATAGAGGTGAGCTCTCAACACCCATCTATTGGTATTTCACAGGATTAGGGATCTTTACCAATGTACCCACCACATCAGATGCATCTGATGCAGAGCATTGTGTGCTCCAGCTGAATGTTTCCATTCACAAACCTATAACTTGTGTTTCCATCTGAGTGCTGCACACAGAATCCAGACACACAGATGTGCTCCACAAACACACTCAGACATCATGTCTCTTTTTTAACAGGTGATGGAAGTAATTCAGTAGCTGCTTTAATGCAACCTTAAAGCAGGATGAGTACAGGCTAAATAAATCCAGAGGGAAGCATACACAATCCAACATGGCTCTAATACTGAGCCGGTCTTTTTGCCTTTCTCCTCTTCCTTTTTACTTTTCCCTTCTGGAGGGACTCGAGCATTAGGCTGAGTGTTGAACTGTCGGTTCAGATTTTCAGCCTTATGAGATGAATTTCCCTTCCGACTTGAGTCATGCCCGACCTAACCTTCTGCAATTGTGTACGTGTAGTTAGTCATATACAACTACACTGAACCCAGTTGTTTAAAGGCTGAATAAATATAACTACACCGTTGTTACCTTGTTTAAAGGTAGAAAGATTAATTTGAGTTCTAACTGGAAATACCGATTCAATGAATAAGCCTGAAATGTAGCAGGTTTTAATCACACTAAGAAATTGGTCTTTTGCATCTCCAAATTATGCAAGGCAAAGCAAGTTCATTTTAATCTATACGTGGCATTATATTTGCCATCTTCATAGTGCTCTATGTCAGCGGGTAATAGCTGGGAAGTGAAAAAAGATGTACTGTTGGCTGTTGGTGCCCTCCAGGGGCCAGGCCGGGTATAGCAGTCAGGCAAAACAAGCTTTGAGCATTCAAGCAAATACAATAAATATTGCATATTATTACCCCTCTAGAAAAAGGTGCGAGGGCCATTATTCATGCTACCCTCAGTGGACAGCTTCCCTCTGAAGTCCCACAGACACTGGGATGCTTGATCAAGCAGAAGCAATGCAAGTGACGTATGCATTTATATTTGACTGCTACTTTCCCTGCCTGGATTCCTGTGAAAACAAGGTTTATATTTGAACACATTGTGCATCTCTCTGTCCTCTTCCACTAGCACGCAAGCCTTTGCCTTGATTCTAGTAAACCTGAAGGAGAAGTAGAGGTGGCAAATATACTACATGCTGATAGCGTTCATGAAAATTGGGATCAAGAAATGAAAGCAACTAAATTTGATGCCCCTCATGCTGTGAGGCTGAAGCACCAGCTCTGTCCTTACATTTGCTACAGACTGAACCATAGGGTGAAAAAAATCCAAGAAAACTCAGTTTGTAACTTCCATCCATTAGTGTCCATTTTTGGCTGCAGGCTTACTCCAGGTTTACATAAAACAACCGATACCCTCCCGCAGGCTTTATACCCTCTGGAACAAGACAGAAATCATTCTTTGGCCTTCACAGACTGCAGATTAGTTCCTTAGCATAGGGACTATTAATTCACATTTTCCCATGCCATTCTGTAACACAGCTGCTACAAAACTAGACATCAGAGAGGGCAAGTTAAAAAAGAAATCAGGACTGTCAGAATACAAGAACAGTCCACACAAGCCCAGCAGATAAAAAGCACATTTTACTCATAACATACCTCCAACAGAGACCTATCTGATCCAGAATTTCTCTGGAATTAACAGAACTCTTCACTGCCTCCCAGCACACACAGCTCTAACAGCAGACAGGATGGCCAAGAGCAAGAGGAGGTGTACTATCAGGGCATGGTTATGTTAGAATTTCTCCTCCTTAACGTTCTCAGACATTATGAAAGCATGCTGCCAAAACAAGGTTTGCATTACTGTCCAGTCTTACCCACAAAAGTAGCTATAACTTTATAAATACTTTTTCTGCAAAATTAGGATGCAAAGTTTTGGGCATACTTGAGGTGTTCATACCAACACCACATCTCCCTTCTCCTCACAGCATATATTATCCAATAAAAGTCTTAGTTGTGGAACGTTCCTCTTTCGTTGCAGTAGGTATGGAACCACTACTTTGTTTCAGGGGTTGAATTTTCAGTACCTGCTATTAGTTTTCAGCCCACTCTGCATAAAATGTTTAAATGAAAAGATGACATTTTCTTACAGGTATAAGCAGGCAGGACTACACTGAAGTCTGTGAACACCTAGCAGGGCACACTGAGCTCAGCTCTAAGCCCTGTGCTTTCTCCTCCAGAAAGTCCAGTGTCAACCTTCAGGCCCAGATAATTGCTGACCTAATACACCACTGGGATATATGGAGATCACGAGACTGCCTGAGCTAAAGCTCCTGAAGGATGCTCTATGATGGCTGGTGCACAAGTCAGCTTCTGACTAGAGCTGCTGAAAGAATTACCCTCTCGCTCCCCCTTGCCCCGCACAAAGCTCTCTGGTCATGTCAAAAATTGAGACTTTTAAGACAAGGAGAATCCAAAAAGTCTTTGATATAATTAATATCAGATAATTGTTCAGAGTCTTCTTTCATCTGCCAATTACAAGTGGAAATAGAGTCTGGGGAGCTACTGCAGATCATCTTTATGCAATTACAACTTATGATGAACTACCCAGCTCCAGCAGCACTCCCCAAGCTACAGCAAAACGATTCTAAATAGAAGACCTGTAACAGCAATGACATAATGTCAATTCCAGTATTTAACATGCCCACAAGCTAGAACATACACTCCTAGTTTGCTGCTGTATTTGACCACGTAGCTCATGGATGAAAAATGACTTCAGAAATCAGAGTGGCAGGTAATTAGCAACACATGCTGTCTTCCATTACTTTGTTTTGTTCTCCTTATATAATTTCCCATCCATGCTCTTTTCCAGTGTTTTCAACATTTATTTGTAAGAGGCTTCAAGCTTGAAAGGCAGCTTGGCTTCCAACAACACCACTGTGCTGGTTTTGCAACCTGACGCATTTGGGTTCAGACTGAGTGTAGTCCCAGATAGCTGAAAATTTGACAGTGAGCAGTAAGAAATCTGACTGGCTTCACTGAGCTATGTACCAGTGCACCCTTAGCAGAAATACAGCTTCATCTTTCTACCTCCCAGCCTAACTGCAAGACATCAGCCTCCTAGTAATAGAAGAACATCAGTTAATACATAAGCCAATACAACAAAGCATCAGGGTTCTGGCCATGGGGGACCTCAGGCCTAGAGCTGCACAGGCTGTTTTCTGTGAAGGCAACAAGAAGGAAAAGCTACTCTCTGATGACCCCACATCATCTGAGCCATTTTAATTACACTCAGTCAAGACTGATTAATATGGGGATTCTAGAAGAACCATCTCTATTATATTCCATGCCTTCCTCTCACTGAAGCATGGAAGAAAACTGAGCACGTTTATTTTGACCCCCTGCAGACCAGAGCGAGAAGCAGCTCTGCAGGTTTTCCAGCACCGGACACTGCTGGGGAATGCAGAAATGCACCCCTTACCAGCACCTGCAGGTGGCACGGTCTTCTTGCAGATCTCTAATCTGTGCTCCATAATCACATTCCAGGGATAAATAAACCCAACTTCCCAGATGAAAAGAGGTTTCAAAGCTTATGTACTCATTTATGATTTGTTTTGTTCAAACCCATCAATTTAAACAATTGTTTTATTTTCCAGAAGCTGTGCTGGATTAGATTCAGTAAACATTGACAAGAAAAGATTAATGCTGGAGAACACAAAATGAGTTAAAGGAGACTGACAACGAAATACACAACCCAGCACCACACTCAGAACTGAGAGCATGGAGGCTCATGAGAAATACAGCTCATATTGATCACAGAAGTAGCAAACATCTTCAAATAATGATGCAGGGGCCAGTTTTAGAACTGAAGTTTAGCGGTATTTGTAGCTCAACAGCACTTCACTGAAAAGTTTCTGCAGAGTGACTCAAGCAAATTAAGAGAGAACATGCTCCACTGCACTTCTCCTTGAGCCTGAGGCTGCTGCATAGGTTCCCCCACAAATACGTTACACAGCTTCTGAGGGGATTTTTCCCACATGAATTCTTACTTGAAATTCTTACATAAATTCTCACAGCAAACAGGACCTCCAAAGCGATCCAACCAGGGGAAAAAGGAAAACAACACTAACAAACAAGAGCAGCTTTTTTCAGTTCAGGTTTTCAGGCTGCACAGCCGCAGGGACACATCAGTCAGTACGGCTAACAGGGATGGACAATGGGACACTGCAGAAGCAGGGCCATCGACCATAGTCCCAGCACCAACATAATGGCGTGCCTTGGCCTCCTCAGTGCTCACAGCATGCCCTTTCCCAGCCCAATAGCCAGTATCAGATAGAGGATCTCACGGTCTTTGCACTGAAGCTACTGGGTCATTGATTCCACTAGGAAGATATGCATCAGTATGTTTACCCGTGGTTCAGTTACCAAATTGCCTCAAATGAGAAACAAATTGTGAGGCCTAACACTAAAATTACTGGCGTTGTAGCAGGCCTGCACTACCTTGGCCACAGAACTGAGCAATTGCAACACATCAGTAATCATAACTGCTTCTGAAAATAAAGTACAGCTCATCAGGGTGGTCATGTTTCCCCTAAATTTATTAAAGGGTCATTACCTCAAGAACTCATTACATCAACACAGCACTTCTTAAAGGGACAGGATTAGGAAATGCTGAAGGGCTTCCGAGAAGCCGATAGTCCGTCCTTCCGTCATTTCTGTCACGGCCCAGATCTTTCATTCAACAGCTAGAAACATTAAGGCTCCATTTTCTTTGTTCAAAGCTTCTTGTTGCCCTTTTCTGGCATAGAGTCTTGCTGAGCTTGGGAAGGAAATCGGACTACTCATATATATCAGCATATTTTCTCCCCTGGGCCTAAATTTAAAGCAGACAACATGCTTCATAAATATTAATTTACATGGGATATTTTAAGTGCAGCATCGGAGTTGCCCAGAGTTTTCCTTCTCATGCTTCCAGCTTCATTAATCAACCTAGCCCAGACAAAATATATTACAGGAAGATGTCTGTAGTCACTGTGGTCTAAGGCATAATCATACCTCAGAGATGAATATTTACAAGCCTGTGTCTCCTCTTTAACAAGAACACAAGAAACCAAACTGTGTGGCAGTTGTACAATGCTGCTGTTAACTCCTCTCACACGGGGAGGATTCTTGCACTAAAAAGGGACCAAAGCTGGAGAAGAGCAGCAAACAAACTAGGAAGAGTCAGCACCTTGAAGTGCAAGGAAAACAGCAGACCCAGAAAAGAGCACGTTTCAGGTGGGAGAGGCCTGGAGGAAAAGCCATGGCTTGCGCAGGAGATACCAGGGAGCCAGCCTAGCTCAAGTGCTTGTGAGCTTCCTGACAGAGGTCAACAACAAAGGAACAGGAAAGCTCCTCTCCGCCTTCACCAAGCTTTCTGTAAGTTCTTACTGCATTACATATCATGGTTTTGAGAGACTGCAAGCAGCAGAACCCCGCTGTGGCAGCACTGTGTTCGCTCCTCCCTACTTGCTCTAGTTGAGAAGATGGTTCCCACACTGAAAAGCTGCATGACAGAAGTTTGCTGTCACAGAGCCACAGGGAGGAAATAACAGAATAACAGCAATAACAACAATGATGCCAAGACGCTCTTAGGATCAGCAGTATTTGAGCCAGAATAACACAGTTGTCACTGCTCTGTTCTCACAGAGCAGAGCACCCATAACAGCATGTCACAGCAAGCTGTAAACACAGGTCAGAAACCCTCTCCCAAACTTCATGCTCCTCCAGAGCCCTGACACTCACATGTACCCACACCCAGCTGCTCTCAACTGGGTGCCATCAACACCAGTACTGCCTGGCTTCATCCCCTGTCCCCTGCTCCTTCTGCCTGTGGCACACCTGAGCTCCGACCATCTGTTCTACCCCTGTCTCCCTAATTGGGCTGAAAGTAGACAGGACTGAATTCTCATTAGCTGTACACACAGCATAGCTAGCAGGCAAAAGTATCGTGGCATTTCAATTTGAAAAGGCTTCCTGGTACCTTATCATCTTCTTGTCTACACCTCCCATGTTTACATTGGTGTTGGCCACCAGAATAACAGCAGTGTCTTTCTATTTATAGCACCCTCTGTTTCAGGTACAGCAGTAGCAGGGTCCCAGCTCCATGCTCAGAGTTTAAGTGACAGGATAGCTTGTGTGGTCATGCTAAAGAATGCAGAAATTGCTAAATGCAGCCAAATGTTTCTTCAGGTCTGGACAGAATATCTTTTCGATTTCAATACATTTGCAAGCTCTAATCTTTGCATGCCACAGCTCTTGCTTCTCAGCCAAGAGCGGAGAAGCAGAAGCAGGTTTTGCACTGCTTATTACTCTTTGTAACAATTAAATCCAAGAATACCAGCAAACCAAAGAATAGATTTTTCCTCCACTGATGGATCGTCCAGATTTCCAGGTGTGGTTCTTTAGATTTCTCTCAATAAGACATACACAGTGTTACTCAGTTCTGCATGTCATTCCGAGAAAGCCACCTGAGTGTGTTGGATAAAGAGATGCATTTTAGCTAGTAACATTTTTTCCAAGCCTTATCAACTCAGGATTGACAAGTGATAATGACAACCTGTATTCCCTTACACTTCAGGAAAATAACAAAGTCTGTGGTCCACACTTCTATCATTCTGCCTCCCTCTTCTACAGAAGAAACTCCAGTTAAATACTTGCACTTCCATAACCCCTTTGGTCTTAAATCCAAGCACTGCCTCCAAGTGCATCATTTTTCACTGAATTCTGCTCCCTCCCAACGGGCTAAAGTTCAAGGTCACACCTAAGATCATCTGTCCAGATGACACCAGTAATTGTAACAGACAATATACCCAAATACTGCTCCTTGCAAACACAATTCCAAACCCATGAACCGAGACCTGACCTGTTTCCTTAACCAACTGCAATAACATTGATCAAGACTTGTCCCCAAGAAGTAAGAGCCTCAGGGTCCTTTGCCTCCAGACCCACCACTCAGAGGGATTACGGCTCCCTCCCTTGGCAGGGTCTTCTGCAGCGGTGTGGAAAAAGCGTGGCAAGAGGATGGAGGGAGAGAAGGGGACACAGCAAGAGATAAGAGAAGCCTGCAGATTTGATATCAACTAATTGTGTTGCATGGGGCCAGAAGGATTGGAGGGAGACGGGCTGTTTGGGAGATAAGACACCACAGGATGAGATGGGCTGGGACAGGATGAGAAAACCTTTTGGTCCAAAACAAACTATTCAGTACCTCCCTACAGCCACACTATTCAGTACTTCCCTACAGCCACACTATTTGATTTTCCAGAAAAATCACAGCAAGTTACAGCTCCTCTCCAGTTCTCCAGGGTCCACATCTCTGGTGAGAAATCATTAAAGAGTGAACACAAGCCCTTCTTGTCCGCACTGCCTCCAAACGAGCCAGCTGTGAGCACCCCCGAGCACTGCAGTGGGACAGAGAGCCATATTTAATAGTGCTAAATCTAAAACCGTTTTAAATAAATCCCCCATTCTTCTGGACCAGTCCTTTCCGTTTACATCACCATCCACCTGGGTAGCATGAAATACTACTCTAAAGCTGATAATTATGTTTTTATAGAGATTAGATGTTAAATGCTTTCTGATTGTGTTTAGGGCTCAAACACTCCAGATCAGTTCAGCACAAAAAGAAAATTATTCCCATTTTCCCCAGAGAAAAACAGTAGTTTCCACTGAATAGAAAAGGTATTTCCCCCCCAAAAAAAAACCTGCACCAGCTTAAGACCAAGAACAGTCAGATTTCAGGCTGCACTAATAAGAGATTCTCAACTCTAATCTCAGAAATTTCACCTTTAATTACCTGTCAAAGAAAGGAAAGAGCCCCTGTTAGTATTATTACTAATAGAGCTGGAAGGCCTTCAGATACTGAATCCTGGAATTACTCAGCCTGTGCTGAAAGAGCAATTTCAGAGTACTCGTGGAGGTGGGTACTTAAACATTAATTAGTAAGCTTATCTCTCCCAGATCTGTAAGAATATATTCTGCACAACTGAAGTCAAAGCTAGGCTTACAGTAGAATTAACACTTGAAGCCATCTGAGGCCTTTTTCATCTTAAAACAAAGCCACAGTCACTCTCACACTAGCACCTATAAACCCCAAAGCAGCCTGCACACACAGCACCCACCACACACAAAAGCCTTGTACTCACCTAGCCACACGGACAAGAACATGGGCAGCATCCAGGAAGAAAATAACCCTGCCATACTGGAGGCAGAAATAAGCATTACACTTTTACAGCACCCTCCAACAGGACAAAGAAACCCCCAAGCAGCTCACACTGCAACCATACAGCTCCAGAAAGCACCAGTGGTGGCTGGGCCAGCTCCTAATCATCCCCTGCAGCTGTGAGCCTCAGCACCTGCAGGCAATTATCTCATTGTGCCCACCAGCTGAGCACATCCCCATGCCAAGCAGACCTGGGGATCCACTACCCAGCACCTCTCCTTTTGGGGAGCGGCTCACAGAAACTCAGTGTACCCAAGGAGCTTGGCATGCAGCTACAGGGGTCACAGCACTGGGGTTTCAGCTCTCTATAAGGCATTGTGACCCTTGTATTCTGTGACAGTTATTAACATTTCAAGTTTTTTCCCAGCTCGGAATCAGTTGCTGATATTCTGTATTCTGAACATGATAAAGTGGTTAAGATTTGAAGTACTCTTTCTGATTTGTACCAGGAAGAATATGTAGGACTTGAACACAGATGGCAACAAAAAGGTTTCAGAAGTCTATCACTTTCAAAGTACAAGTGTTCGGGTAGATGGGTAAAAACACTAAAACTTGGTAAGTGCCACTGATGTAATTTAAACAGTGCAACAAATGCTCAGCTGTGACTCAAATTCAGCAGCACAGCCCAATGCACACCACTGCTTCTGAAGCAAAAACCTCCAAATACCTGTTCTGTCCCTTACTACAGCAGTTCCCATTCTTGTTGCTCCCATTTTCAGTTCCTGCAGAACTGATTTGCAAAGCAGGCTGTGATGCTCATACGTTACTTCTGAGAGCTGGCCTGGAATTTTGGCATTTGCAGGATCTGTCCTCTGCAGGACAGAAGGCAACTCACGAACATTATTTATTCCCTTTTAAACAATTTTCTTTAAATCCTTCTAGGTTTCCTTCATTAAATGGAAAACTACAATGCACACGGACAAAAATAAGATAAGAATCTGCCAAAACCAAACTTTTTTAGTGCTGCTAGTTTAGAACAAAGACATATAAAGCGTAGGATGTAATTCACATCAGATGGAAATCCTGCTGACTTATAAATAAAGCTAAACTGGCACTGAGTCCTTCCCTTACATTTCCTATTTGCTTTTCAGTCATCCAGTGACAACAGTTCATTTGTGAGAAACACAAGTACTGTATACAGTATTATTAAAATGATGTAATTTGCAGACAATATCAGCATGAGCAGGGTCAGCTCTTATCTGATGGGTAGTACTGGATGAAGTCTTTAAGAAAATATGCTTTTTAAGGACGAAACAAGCAGCAGGAACCGTTTCTGTTTGTTTGGGAATATCCTCCTTTGGAAATACTGTGACCAGTGCAACCTTGTTTTACAACAGTGCCTACTTCCTGACCTAAATCTAAGTGAAAGTCCCAAGTGGTACCCAAAATGTTCTTCCCTTCCTCAAGTTATAAAAACAAAAGGAACAGAGACATTGAAAAAAGCCCACTGAAACCATCCAACCACATTTGCTAATGGACCACATTCTAGCTTTCAGCAAGGCAATGCTATTACATCCCTTAATCCACCTGCAAATCAATGATGATTTTGACTTGCTTTCAGCAACAAGATCTGTGTGCATGGACTGTGCTACCTGATGAGCCAGCCACCCGTACATGATTGATCAGCATCCTACCCCAGCTGTGTCAGAGCCACAATAATATGACAAATTCTCTTTGTCACGCTTCAGCTTTTGCTGGTTGTTAACACAAAACAGGTGTAAAGCAGAGGAATGAAAAATACCAGCCGTCATGGGAGATATTGGAGAAGAGGACTGTGAACAAAGGGCTAACAGAGAGCATCCCCAGAGACCAGCCTTCAGCAGAAAAGACCATTTGAAATGCCCTTCCCTGTCTCCAGCAGACAGTCAATCACAATTCCCTCCAATTGTTTCACATTAAACTGTTGGTTATACTTAAGGCTGTTTCACTAGTCTTTAATAAGGTACAATACAACTGCCCACGATAAACTCTGGTACCCACCTAGTACCCAAGTAGGGTATATATTTTCAAAACCACTATGTTTCTGCCTTCATTTGTAGGGTCCTGATTAGCTTTTGAAAGCCTGATCTGCAGAGAGACCAACCAAAATCAGAGCTTTGGTTTAGGGTATGTACCACCATATACCATCTACGCAGACCAGTAAGAGGAAGTATCGTGTCTCCACTCCAGCTGGCAATCAAAACTCAAGACTTTTAACTGCCTGACTCACTACTGCAACCAGAAAATGTTGCCCAGGTATCTTTTGCTGACAGTCAGCTCTGGAATCTCTGAATTAGCAGAATCTGAGAATTACAACCACCTCTCCCATAAATCTCCAGTGTAGTCCTGAATTAAAGTCCATGGAGGCTGACAGGAACCATTCCTTCACCAAGTTTGGGAAGAAATACTCCACAAGTTCTCTGAAACCTACTAAAGTATATCAAACACTTGATCCTGCCTTTAGTTTTCCTTCTTCATGCTTGATCCATGATCTACGCTCTATTCTCAACATGACTGCTTATCTGCAGCCACATCTTTTCCATTTTTGCTGTGAGGCCTTTGTATAGGATGTTTCCAAATACAGTCCACATGTCTTTAAATATATGGAACTTGAATTTCATTTGATGGAACCCAGGCAATTTATTTTCCCTTAGATCTATCCATCCAATTTGATGTTTTTTTAAATACCAGCCATGTACTTACTGTACTTTCATTTTCAGATGTGGCCTCGCTTCAAGTTTTGACATTTTGCTGAAAAGTTTCAACAGCAATTAGTCAAAACATGATGATGTTTTGGTTTGCCGTTTAATCCATACCAGAGCACAGGCCAAAGCGGTTTCCTTCCAGTGAGCACAGACTTTCTAATTACACTCACTAATCACAGGACAAGCAAGTGGAAGAGTGCCTGAGTTCATGCTCCAGCCTAATGAACATGATTTGATGTTCCTTCACGCTAAGTGACTGTTGCCACATAGCAGCTGGCTGTGAGGCAGGGCTCCTGTGAGAAGCCTTCGCTCTGTTTTTGAGTCCTCAGTGACTCTCACCCCATTGCATTTAGACTCCTCTGTTTCCCCTAAAATCCACTTTGATGGTCTCCCAACACTTTATTATTTAACCTTTTGCTGCTTTTAAAAAACATGTTGACTGTAACCAATTGAATTAACTTCCCCACAGTCAGGCAGCACTGTTTCCAGCGGTTATGTCACAAGGCTGGGAGACCAGAAACTGAGCCCAGTGCTGTAGGGCTGCATCTCAAATCTCTGGATATTTAACCCTACCTTTTACTGGTTTTGAGTTAACTCTGGGTCCTGAGCTGTGTGGCCCTCCTAGTGCAGAGAAATGAGTGCACCCTCTCTACACTTACTCCTCATGTCCCTCCAAAATGGAATACTAGCATTGTCCCTAGGGGACAGTTGTGGACTAAGAGACTCCAGATCTTTGTCACTAAGCACATTTACATCCAAAGTATGTCATGTGTTCAAAGTTTCCAACAGCAAAATGGATCTGTGTTGTTGCCCTAGAAACAACTGTGTTCATGCAAAGGTGGTAAGTGGGTTTACACCTGTACCTCCAGAGGTGTGTTGGAACATCTGCTATTTAAAACATCAACTAGGACCCATAGCAGTGTAACTACAAACAATTTTGACTACATATTTCTAGAAAAACAAATTTGAGTATAGGAAAAAAATCCCATAGTTTCCATAGAGAGAAAGAAACATCATGAAGCCTATTGGATTATTTATAATATTATTAGCATTTTCACAAATATTATCACCATGGCAGCAAGTAATTCCTTGGCATTCCTTAGCACAACATAAAATCGTGTCAAATGTTATCACTAAAAGTAAAACAATAAAACTTCATTGCTTTAACATCTGGAACAAACCTTTCCAGAGTATGACATTCTTGTCAATCTGGTAAGATAATAAACCATTAAATACTAAATATCAGAGAGCAGGGAAATGTATCTTGCACATATACACTGTGACAGCACTCATGAAGAAGATAGTTTCACAGTGACTGCTCTGCTGATTGCAGTGGGAGTACGTGGCACAAGCAGCACCCTAAAACGAGATGCAGTGACTATCAGAACACCATTTAGTCTCCTAAGTCGCTTAGAAGCTTATTAAAATCTTACTTTACTTCCAAACTTGTCTGAATCATAAGAAAAACCTGAGCTAAAACCAATTGTACATCCTGAACCTCTTTTATAGCTTCCTGTCAAAAAATATTTTTACCAACAAGTAGGAAATAAGAGAGAAACAACATCTCATACACAGCATAAAATGCACCACAAAGAAGCATGCAAACACATGGCCATTACCAAGCAGGCATCTCAGACTTGCTCTCTAACTCAATCTAACACCATCATCATCAAAGGCCTTTAAATTTACAAATCCCTGCAGCTGCAAGCTGACTCCTAAGCACAGGAAATACTGTTTCTGTAACACTGCTCTTCCTCTCCCATTTTACCAATAGCACAGCTGCACTGGACACACACAAGTCCTCCAGCCCCACTGCAGCTATCCACTGGAGCAAGCCAGGTTTCCAGGAACAGACACCGGCCCAGCCGAGCCCCTGCAGGGCCCATTCATTGAGCACCTCAAGCTGGGGAAGCCCAGCAGGAGACTGCAGCCCACAGTGCCAGCATTGTGTCACCCAGGGATGGTGGAGATTGCAAAGATCCTGGCGAGACGGTTTTCCAGGTGCTCTGTGCTATCAGCCAGCAGCAGGAATGATGCCCAGGCCAAATGTGTCATGCAAGGCAATGTGAACCAGCACACAACAAGAAGACAAGGTGATGTGAGACGGCGAGCTTGCTGGTTTAGCTAACAGTGATACAAATCAAGAACAATTCCATAAAATTACAGAACTTCCCTCAACATTTACACACAAAGGGCAGCTACCTACCTTTAAAAATAAGCAGGCCTGCTATGGCTTGCATCTCCAAGGTTGCAGCAAGTCTACCCATGCCAATACAGTCTAGAAAGCATTTCTAAGAGAAAGAAGTCTGCAAATGACGGATGAGGAGGACTAAAGCTCATGTCTTTCAGAATGATTAAAAGTAGGAAAAGGATGAATCTGGACTTCTGGCTCAGTAACATAATCATCCATCTGAAAATGAGGATGCATATATATATACACACTTATATATGTGTGTGTGTATATATACACACACACACACTTTTTAACCAGTTATGAAGAGTAATGGCAAGCTCAGCTCTCAATGCAGCCAAGAATTATCCTAAGGCGACTACAACATGATGTCTGGGCCACATATTGCAGCAGCAAAGCTCCTTGAGGGCATGGCAGAGACTGGAAAGTTCTGCTAGAGAAACATTCACCCATGAAATGCAATTCCTGATGCCCATTATAGCAGAGAGGATGTCTACTGCTGTCTCTGATTAGCTGGCAAGGAACAGCTGAATTAAAAGCAAAGCATTGCAGGATAAATACTTGTTATCAGAAAAGCACTGGATGATTGCATCCCAGTCCCAGGATTTTATTCACCAATCTCACCATCTGGCTGCTCAAACCATTCCAGCATCTCTGAGTATCACTATCATAACATTGGGTAACAATTAAAAAACTGAAGAACCCAATGCAGAAGGTAGGTGCTGCCTGCATACAAGGAGACAAGCTTTAAAGCACCAATTTTAAGTGGATGTGATGCATAAATTACAAGTCATAAGCATGTCATTTAGAACACTGACCAAGCGGCTTCCTTCATGTACTTAATGTTGCCATATAGAGTCAGCAGCTGCTTAATAGTTAAATGCTTCAGATTACTTCATAAATCCCAATTTTTATGCTTTTACAGTGTGCCTCACAAAACTAAGTTACCCCAAACCAGGAGAATAAGGGAAATCACCCTGAAAATGTAAAAAAAAATGGGAAAAGAAAATCCATTATTCAAAATCCTGTTCCTTACTCACCTAAAATATATTCATTGACTTTTCACACTTGCCATAAAATTACACCTCCTGCAATTTATACACAGCTTTTAATAGAAAACCCCCACTGGTTGTATTCGTGCTACTAGATAACAGTTGCTGCAGAACTTGGCCACCTCCAATAAAATGAAAGGTCTAGGCATGGTCTCACTGATGTCCACTCAAGATTTATTCCAGACTTTTAAGACAGGCATGGCAGGATGTTTTACAGATGCAACTGTCAAGTGTAGTGGCACCTTACCATATATATGTATGAAACACATAACAGGAGGTTTAAAGAACTCATTAGGAAAATTCCAGGGAGCGGTTATCAAAATTCAAATACTATAGGTTTTTATTTTGCCTTTTGGGGGAGCAGAGAAGAGGGAGGATGTCTGATGGGTTCTGGCTTTTCCTTCTTCTCAAATACAAGAACCTTTTGTAAAAGATAAATAGTGGGCAAAAAACTTTCTTTAATGGAAAAGATCTTTTTCTTTAAAAGGCACACCGATAGAGAAGGTTTATTCAAGCTGAATAGGTACATTTCAGATTCCACTGCAACAGTTTTGGATTTTGATGTATGCTGACTACCTCAGTTATTTGCTAATGTAAGCATAGCAAATTATCTGCTATCATCTAGCTGGAGCTATTAGACTGCAGCTAATAATTTACTCCTCAACTCATCTTTATTCTGAACATGCAAATTATTAATTGATTACGGGTTTTCTGTAGTCATCTGTGCAAATGACTGCTCTTGCCATTCATTACTGCCTCCTTTTCCACCTGCCTGTCAATCAGCCCTTCATGGGGATGCCAAAATAACATTTCAGTTCTGTGCTGCTTGTGGAGTGATGGAGCTCAAATGAAAGCACAAGCAGAGGGGCCCACACAACAGCTCTGTAGCCTCTCAGGTGTGTGATGCTGCCACTTGGGATGCACGATACTCACTGGGGTTTTGGCACTTCAGGAAGATGCTGTGAAAAGTACGTAACGCAACACACTGCTGCTGCGCAGGATGAACAGACTATAAGCAGGAAGTCAGAAAGCCCAACACATCTTCAGCGCTTTGCACATCTGCTCTCATATTTGCAGGTACAGAAAGTAAAAAGGATGACTAGATCTACACAGGATTATTAAACACAATGCTTTTCACGCACACAAGGCACAGAGCCATATCCTTTTCAAGACCCAGCTCTTGCTGATTCAAGGGTAGTTGGCAGCCTCACACACACAAAACAGGGCCATGCTTTACAAAGTACAGCTATAGTACCAGCTTGTTCAGTGACTCTGGAGTGCTTTCTTCACCAGATCCCATGCACCAAGTGTTTTCATGTCTATGCACAGAAGGCAATTGGTGCCATTTGGTTGCCTGGACTGTCAGCTCTCTATGGTGAGTATTTCCTTTCGTAACTCCTACCGTGTGTAGCAAATAAGGCAAAGATCTTTGTAAAAAAGGACCAGCAGATTCATTTTAAAAGGCCGCTTAAAATAAATCCATTTATGTACCATAAACTCTTACTACTTATAGAGAAACAAATAAATAAGAAGAAAATGGAAGTATTGACAAAATACATTCCCACCCTGAAGATTAGTAAAGAAATTGAGCAGTAGCAGGTGCCTCCTCTGGCAACATAGATAATAACATATGAGTCCAGATGAGCTTCAAAAGTCAGATCTACAGCAGCTTTACCCTTTTTTCCACCAGGCACTGAGAACAGGTTACTAACAGCTTCCTGCTATCTGCTAAAACAACAGTTGCTTAGGTCATGGTAAAAAGCCAGGATATCTGGCTGTATTTATTCTATTACAAGCTATGTTTTTAATCTTATAAGAAATCATGTGATGGCTTTATCTCTAGCTTTAAAAAGACTTACCTCCAGGTCCCTGCACTTGGAGCAAGTGTGTTAGAGGAGGTAAGGCAGGAAAAGCCTGGCTAATTTCAGAGCTCTGCCAACAGGGTGGCACAACACATCCCAGGCACAAGGCAAGCCTCGAGCTCTCTCAGGCTCAGCAGTAAAGGTCATTTGTAGAAGTACTTACTACAACATGATGAAGACATGGGAAACGCACAGCATTTGCATTCTCTTCTAAAATCATAAATCAACCTCCTCAAAAGAAATCAGAAAATTTGTATGTTTTAAGATAATGAACTGGGGGGGGGGGGGTGTGTCTGTTTCTTGGTCTGTTTTTATGACACATTTCCATTACATATTCAACATATTCCCTACCACCCTAAAGATAAGCAAAATAAAATCTTCCCTTGCTGAGTGTCACATAACATCTTCATCCCAGAAACAGAGATTTAAGGAAAACACAGCAAGGTTCAAATACTACAAACACATTTGAATGACTAATTCTCCTTAGTTTCAATGTGTGTGAAAGGCCTAAATATTTTTGAGACCTTAGGCTAAATATAAGACTTGTTAAAACTACATACCCATCTGCAAAAATACCTGTAAGTTTCTCCTCAGCTACCACTGGGACTTGCTTCAGCTTTCAAACCTCAGTTTATGGTAGCATCACTATTTTTTTCTAAGTGCTCTTCACTTCTGCCAAGCAGAAAAGAGGTTGTTCTTGATGCTGGCTGCTTCCTGTTCTTTTCCTCCTGCAGCTCTGATTTTTTTCCATCCCACATCCCTGATTTGAGTAAGGAAAGGGGATGGGGAGAAAGAGATGCTCACATCTGTGCAGAGTCACATCTCTAGCCAGCCCTCCTGTATTCAATCCCCTGATTTGGTTGTAGGGAAGAAGCAGGTCTTGATTGCACAGTGCTTTGAAGTTTAATGGTGATTGGAACATATGCTGAAAGACAGTGTCACCACCATATTTATATCAAAAGTTGATTATCTATTGAAAAGAAGTTTGTTTATATGTTTACTTCCACTTCTATTAATATATGGGGAAGGGAGAGGGAAATTAGCATATGAAAATGCCAGATGTAACTAATAGCTATCAAAGTAAGACAGGGCTGGGCTCAGATCAAAGGGGTTTGCTAATTTGGATAAGCCTGATATTGTCTTTTCCGTCTTGGAGTTACTTTAGGCCCTCACGGTAAAAAGATTTATTGGGAACCAGAAAAACACATCTGAGTTTCTCATTTTACAGACTTTACGTTCGTATTATGCAGTTGCAGGATAGCACCAAAAGACCAACATAAATTCTCTCTGGTACCTTTCAGTCGATGTTCAAAGACGTGAAGTATTTGGCACAGAAGATTTACGCACCAAGGTGATACTCTTAACAAATTATGTTAAGACATCTGAAAGTCATCATTTCTGTGCACATGCACGCATTTTAAAAGAAAATCTACAAGAGGATCAAAACCAAGATTAAACCACATCTGTTTGGGTTTAAACTACATTGTCTGCAGAGTTCAAAGTTGTTTCCTTTCGTCTAAAAAAACTTACCCAGCTGCTTTTTATCTTAAATTCCTACCACTATCAAAGAAGTATTTTCATTGGCCAACCAATGTTATTTCTAGAAGTTGAGCTAGTTAGGAACGGAGCTAAGTAAGAAAATACGCTTTCTTCGTCAAAGGTCTACCCTGTGTGACTTGACTTGGCACACTGAGAAGACAAATGGACAGGTTTCATCAGGTTCTAATGGGAGCAGTGTATCTACTGTATGTCATCATGCCATAAATTAGGTTCTCAATCTTTTTACACAAGTAATTGACTACAACTGACACTGGTAAGGAAAACATGAGACAGAATGAATTGGAAGAGGCACAAATTATATAATAAATAAATACATACAGCACAAATCCAATACATGGGAAAGAGAAATGTTTTGAAAACTGTCATCAATCAGTAAACGTTCTGCATAAATGCAGGTGTGCAGTACTGCTGTAACAGCAGGACTTGCTCAGCTACCACTGACAAATGTACACACACATGTACATATGTATGTGTATGTATGCATGCACACACACAATAACACTAGACCAAGAAATCCTGATGTTCAGTGTTAAACAAAGAGAAGAATAGGTGGTACAAGATGACTGCCTCAGTCGTAGTCACAGTGGTTTGCGCTAAAATATGGGAGAAAAATGAAGTTAAACTGTGACAGCTGCATCCTGAGCAATGAATTTCACTTTTCCATGTGCCCTCTTCCTGTTTAAATTGCTTCAAGTAGTGTGTGAAAGTCTGTTTCACACAGCAGAGCCCCACTTTCACTCCAGTGGGAACTGGCTGAAGCCTTTCATGAACTAGGCTACATCCTAACTCCTACAGGCAAACTTCCCTACATCCTAAGGCCAATCTGGATTCACAAACCAAGCAACATAATGCTTTTCTTGGCCAAGCTGTTGTCCGAGCTGCCCTCTCTCCCCTTCCCAACACACACAGCGTGGGAAGGAAAAGAACTGGCATTGATCACCCTTTCAACCCTGAGCCAAGAGCAGAAGCTGCAAAAGCCTAGGTTGTTCAGGTTTGCAGGAGGGTGTGCAGAAGACTTGGGGGTCCCACTCTGCATTTTGGTGCCAATCCCTCCCCCTGCAAAGTTTCCTTTATTTTGCAGATCTGACCCTATTCTTTCTGAAGTCAGGAATATAACTCACTTTTATTATGCAGCAAAAAGGAAAACTGAGCAGTTGGGCACTCTACAGCTGGTCTACTAATGTCACAATCTTTTCAATATGTTCATTATGCAGTTGTCACAGATTCATACATTTGATAGCTCTCAATCTGCAAATCATTCATATCATGACCTAACAGCTGGCATTTCTTGCCATAACACTGTAACTATGTACTCTTAATGTATAGAACATATGGGGCTAACTTTGCTTACCCACTGCGTACACACTGTGCTCTGCAGTCAAATGTAATTTTACACATCTCCAATTTACATTTAACATTGTGTGAGAGAAAACAATAAATCATTTGGCCTGGAAAGAGGAACAATACCAGCTAATACATGTAACTAATCAGAAGCACATAATTTTTGTTGTATTTGTTTTCACTGGAATCTTGAACTTGAAAATATTTTGGGTGGTCTTTGTCCTAAATTTGTTCCCCTTCTCTTTCCAAAACTGAGTGTTTCAGAGTAAGCTCTCTTTGTCTTATCTGTTGCAAACAAATAGAAGAAAAAAAGTGATTCAATCTGCTGACATATATTTACAGACCACTCATAGAAAGCTGGCTCTCCCTGTACAGCTCTGGAGGAAAAAGAACTGTAACTGGATTCTCCAAAGGGGGAATGTTCAAGAATGGTAATAAATCAAGATGAAGAACAATAAGAAAATATGCTGTCTATTTATTCAAACACCTTCTGGCATACAGCAAGAAAAATAGCCCCAGTGCCCCCATCACTACTTAATGCAATTCTCTTTTTCCAGGTCATGGTAATATATGTTCTAACCACCATCTGATAATTAAATACAAAGCTGGCCAGAAATAGAATTCATACATCTCCAAGGGAATGTCTTCAATAATGCCCAAGTGCCTTAGAAACTCAGGTCAAATTTTTAAAGACCCAAAGCAACAGTTAGGCCCAATCTCAGTGCATAAGTCTCATGCTTTTAAATATCTTTTTGCATTTGGCTTGGGCCAGCAAGTGTGTTCAGCTGTAGCTACACAAACTTCTTTTTAGGAGAAACATGCTCCTCCATAGCAGATCATCTGATGAGCCACAGTAACTGGGCCCAGGAATGGCAACACAGCAAAAGCCACTCATTTCAAAAACATGCTGCCCTTTCCTGTCACTGATGCTCAGAGCCCTCCACGGGAGGTGAGCTGAGGACAGAGGGTGAGCAGCAAATATCCTGGCTCTACCCGCCGCACGTAACAACTCCCTTCAGGGCTATTTCAGGGTATTTCTTTCCCCTTCCCAGACCAATACACCCTTCATCATTTCAAAGATGGATAGATGCAGATTGGGGGTTTTGAGGTTTTGGGATGAATAACAGCAGTAAAGGCCATCCAAACGATTTGAATTTCAAATCCATGGAGAAGCTGGAGGGCAGCCCTTGGCGGATGGCTGGTCATAACTGCTGGTGCAGCAAACATTAGGGTGTATTCACTTTCTAACCCCATCTTACTCTGTAGCAGACATGTCTTGTTTAGCAAAAAAGATTACAGCAATCTGCACCTTCACTGCAGGGCTTGAAAATTCTGTGTGAAAAGAACAAATGTTTTGCTTCAACTAAAAATGTACGTGTTGCACAAGTATGGAATAAGTATTTATAAGGATTGTGTATATCTGACTCACATAAACATACTCAAAGACATATAACTTCCTAAGAGCTTTTCACAGCACTGATGCCATGAGAGACACACACACCAGCAAGGCTCTCTCACTGACCAGTTCTCTTGTATTGAGACTGATTCTCAATAGCCAAAAGCAATCAACCTCTCCAGTTGCAGACAGACAGTCTTTCTGAGACCACTGCCTAGTGGGTAGAGACCAGAGTACTCCCTTGCGCTTGGGCAATTCAGCTTAGGATAAACATTTCACCCTCCCAGCCCCAGAGTCTTCCTCATACTCCCACAGAGTCATTAAGTGCCTATTTTCTAGCATCAGAATACCAGAAAATATGAAAATGCAAACCCCAACAAGATTATAGTGTTGACATCACATTGGCTTTGCTAATATTGCTTCATATTACGTAAACTTTGAAGGCTATAGTTATGGGAAGGCATTGCAGCCTTCCTTTCCAGACTGGTGAAAAATGTAGCTGAACCCTTTTTAAACTACAAGGATGAACCATCTCTTAAAGCACAGACCCAAGAGTCAGCTACTGAGCTTCACGCTCACCTTAGAGCAGTTCAGGGTGGAGATGCAATGTGTAATGGCTCTGCTTGGCTAACTGAGCTCTGCACTGCCTTCCTCAATAGCAATGTCTGGCCTTATACACAAGCAGCTTTAATAACACAATGCTTCAAAGAGAAAAACGGCTTCAAACAAAATCTTTTTGTTTAATCACACCAAAACACAGTAAATATTTCAAAAGAACTTAATGATATAAAAGCAAACATGAGAGGCAAAATCCTGCTGATCTGAAAACAATTTTAGTGATGTTTTGTATCCAAAGAGACCCTCTTAAATATTGTCAGGCCTCCAGAATGTTCTTATTAGTCCTACTACCGCAGGACCCATGAGCTCTGGTCAAGTGCTTTGACCTACTGTACAAAGATAATGGAGATAAAACCCACCCTGAAGCAATTTGCAATTAAAACAAGATGAAAGACAATCCAGGGATACAGGCGAGCCAGCAGGGCATTCAAGGTAACCGTGATCATCCAGCCAAGCTGTGCCTCATTGTAATCTGCAGATTTTTGATGAGTATCAAACCACCACAGGGAGTTTTATGGAAGTTTTGAAGGAACATACGCACTTTGTCAATGTGCAAGAAAAGTTCCTTCCATGAGGGCAATGCAAGTGTGAATCTAATCAATGTGGGATGGAGATGGGCACCGTGGGCCATATGCATTTGCAAGTCAGCCTTTTGGCAAGCACA